GCTGACTGGGTGGGGTGGGCCAGTCCCATTGGGTGAGATGGTTCCTCAGATAACCCGGACCCATGCCATGAAGGGCTTTAAAGGTAAGATCCAGCATCCTGAATTGGAACTGGAAGCAAACAGGCAACTAGTGTAGCTTACACAACAGCGGTGTAAATGGCTCACCCAAGGGGCCCCAGGAACTGTTTCAGGGGTGGGTTCTAAATTTTTTTACTACCGGCTCTGTGGGCGTGGCTTATTTTGTGGGTGTGGCTTGGAGGTCATATGACTAAGTGGGCATGGCTAGCTGGTCAGTCATTTCTGGAAGGTCCTCACACTTACGACCAATCCTCATACTTATGACCCGACTAATTTGTTTGCTTTTAACACTGATCAGCTGTAGGACGGCCCTTTGAAGCCCCGCGGCAGGAGTTTAAACAGTTTTTTTCCCTCTAGTCATCAGCTGAGACTCAGGAGGCAGCAATAGATTGGGGGTGGGACCAAATAAAAGGTAAGAATAACGTGGGGGGGGGTGGGAGGGCGGGGGGAGAACCGGTTTGGTGACATCATATCGTCACCGCTACCGGCTCGGCCGAATCGGACCGAACCGGGAGGAACCCACCACTGAACTGTTTGCATGGCTGCATTCTGTGCCAGCTGAAACTTCTGAATACTCTCTAAAGGTAGCCCCAAGTAGAGTGCATTGTAATAGTTCAGACATGTGATAACCAGGTCTTGAGTGACTAAATGCAGGGATTCTTGATTCAGCATGCAACTGGCACACAACAAAAAAGTTGTGTAAAGGCTCCCATAGTCATAACTGCCACTTGCTCTTTGAGCAGGAGTTGAAAGTCTAGGAAAACCCCCAAGTGCATACTGGGTCTGTCTGGGGCTGTGCAACCCCATCCAGAATTAAAAGATGTTAACATTCTAGATCCAGAAGCTCCATGCATCCAAAGCCACTACCCGGTCCAAAGCCTGTTTCATCTTGGAATGTGAAAAGTCTTGACTCCTTGCATTACCAGAGCTAGCATGAACTTTGGAACACAGAAAGCACTGGGCATTAATTTTTCTAGAAAATAAATCTCATTTATTCACATTCTATTCTGCCAAGGGTATATGGGAATTTATAAATATTTTGGAAGTGAGTATTTTGCAGCAGAGTTGGTTTCAGAGGGACGAGTGAGGAACAGTTGCTTCATCCCCAATCAGTATAAACCTTCTTGGTGAATCCCCAGTTCTAGCTTAAGACCACTAAATACAGCTTATGACCACAATTTAGCCCAATCACTTTGGCTAAGTGAGACATTTGTTAAGTGAGTTTTGCCCCATTTTACGACCTTTTTTCAGTGATGTTGTAACTTTGAACCGGTCACTAAACGAAATGTTGTTAAGTCAAGGACTACCTGTACAACTGCAAGAGGGTTTCTGAATCCCTCCCTGTGTTGGTTGGATTGCTCTATATTGTATTTAGAAATTGCTTCCCCTTCTGTTATCTGTTATTTCCAATTCCTTCACTTTTTTCTTCCTTTCTGTGGTTTGGCCATGGCCACAGTGCTTTTTTTTCTTGATTCTTCAGTGAGTGTCCCCAACAAATAGGTAGCTAATAAAAAAGTTTTTTTTAAAAAAAAGCCCTCTTGCAATAAGAGTATCCAGCCCCCTTCTTCCCACCCCAGGAGAGGACCTAGTCAGATGTTGCCAGTATGAGAAGGGGGGAGGGGGATCATCTCCCTGCCACTCCTTTTTTCAGTGCACCTGGAAAAAGACCTCAGCACAGCATAGCTACTTGAGGATCCACTTGGTTTCCCTGGCAGTTCCCTCAGAACAAGCGGCTCCCCTCCTTCTCCAGTGCAAGCCACATTCCGTGCCTTTCCCCTCCCTGTCTTCTGGGAACCTTCTGAGCACCTACGGTTGTTATCTCGGAACGCATGGCGCCATGCACGCCTCATCATTCCTGCCTGCTCTATGTAAGGCTCTGGCAGGAACAAGATAAGTGCCAGGATGCAGGGAGGCAAAGAGAGCATCTCTCCAAAGGGCCCGATTGCGAGACAAAGCCTGCAGTGGCAGTGACCTAATTGTTTTCCTCCTTAATTGCTATCTGTTGCACACTGCAGGACAGCACCCGGAAAGGAGGATACAAGGGGGAGTGGAGGGGGATTGGCTCTCAACCAAGACAGGTCCTTGGGCAGCAATCGCAAACTATGTTTATGTTGATACTAACATACAGGTAAAGTTCAAGGCATGCTTCTAACACCAAGGACTCCTTGGTGGACCACACCAGGTATGTTTTGTCAGGACAGAGAGATAGCAGAATGGCCAAACCCACTCATAGTTAAGGTTAAGAGGGGAGGAAGCATCATATGCTGTACTAAACCCACTTCCAGACCTCTAGGGAAGAAATAATCTCTTCAAATGGCATCTACATAAAGAAAAATTTGGGTAGAGAGGACCATTGATTTGAAAGAGAGGCCATTTGTGTTAACATTGAGCAGCCCTCTCTCAACAGAGGAGGAGGGATAAGGCACCACCTATCCCCAATTTACAATGTCGTCCTTTTGGCTGTTCCAAAAGATCCCACACTTCTGATCCAGGTGACCCTGAGGTCACAGATAAAATCCCAAGTAACCACAATGGCTCAGAGAGAGTTAAGACCAGTTGACTGTAAAGGGAATCCCCACAATCTTTCCATTTCCTTTCCCACCACCACCATCCTGTCAGAACCTATCATTCCCCCTCCCACCAACTAATCTCAACTGTCAATAGCGTCCTTCCATCTCCCACAGCACCCAGTGCAACCAATGAAGCTTCTAGAATAGAAAGCGAAACCTCTTGTTTTTCCTTAAAATCAGTGCAGTTGCCTTTTTAAAATAAAAACCACTTTTGATACAGCTATGACCTGGATAAGTGAGAATCTTCATAGACATTACAGAAAGAAAAACAACAACAAAAAAAGGACATTAGATTAGGTCTGACCGTCCAAACCTTTTGGAAAGCACTGAAGATCTGGATGTGCTCCAGGCACTGGTGGGATTCAACCGGTTCGCACCTCTTCGGCTGAACTGGTTGTTAAATTGCTGGCTGGCCCCGCCCCGCCTCGCCCCACCCTTTCCAGAAGTCCCCATGTACCCCGTTTTGGCTCCCAGGTAAGTACAGGGAGGCCTACTAGGCCCAAATGGGGTGCGGAGGGGGGGTGCAGCACAGCCCCCCCCCCAGTGGCCCATTTTTGTTCCCAGGAGGCTGCAGGGAGGCCTACTAGGCCCAAAACAGGGCACCCCCCCACGACCCGTTTTTGCTCCCAGGGGGGTGCAGGAGGCTGGGTGCTGCCTGTCACACCCCCTGGCCATGCCCACCATGGCCACACCCACCCAGCCGGTCATTAAGGCAGAGAACCGGTTGTTAAATTATTTGAATCCCACCACTGGCTCCAGGCATGGGGTTCAGGAGATTGGATGGCCCATGAGGTGTTATGGTCATTGGGTATTTATTGGGTCAGCTTTTGGCAATCATTACAGTTTTTTTTATGTGTTTGTTGTTACCAGATTTTGTACTGTTTTTAATGTGTTGCTAGTTGCTTGGAGATGCCCTTGTGAGCTGGGCAGCAATGTAAATCAATTAAATAAATAAGACAAAATCAAAACATAAAAACTATTATCCTATCAACATCAATATTAACGTCCTCTGCACTTAGCATCTGTCTCACCAACCTAAATAAACAGGGGCTTTTAAAGAAAAGCTATCACTGAACCGATAGCCGCTATCCTTCCCTAGCAAAGAACTTGCCTCCAATCTCAGCATATTCCACCCAGCACATAATTCCTCGGAAAGAAAAACCTCAATTCAGATAATGGTGGCCTGTGAGGTCTCATATGCCAAAATCCTGGAAATGAACTCTTGTACTTTGCATATAGGGATGCAGTGGCTCAGTGGCTAAGACGCTGAGCTTGTCGATCGAAAGGTCGGCAGTTCAGCAGTTCGAATCCCTAGTGCTGTGTAACGGGGTGAGCTCCCACTACTTGTCCCAGCTTCTGCCAACCTAGCAGTTCGAAAGCACGTATAAAATGCAAGTAGAAAAATAGGGACCACCTTTGGTGGGAAGGTAACAGCATTCCGTGCACCTTCGGCGTTTAGTCATGTCAGCCACATGACCACAGAGATGTCTTCGGACAGCGCTGGCTCTTTGGCTTTGAAACGGAGATCAGCACTGCCCCCTAGAGTTGAGAACGACTAGCACATATGTGTGTGGGGAACCTTTACCTTTACCTTGCATATGGTCACAAGAACCATAAAAGAGCCAATAAGCTGCTTGTCTGAAAAATATTCAATTGGAATTGACATCTGAATCCAGGTTGCCAAGCTGAAGGGGGACAAGAACTGGCTCAAGGGCTGGCCTGCTGGAATATAAATCTTCCAGCCACTGAATGAGCAAATTTCAACTTTTAAGAAGTCCTTCATAGCAACCGCTGGTAAATATTGACTCCTGGAAGGATGCAGAGGTGCTTGGCATGAGGGGAAGGATGTGCAACCCAGGTCTGTCATCGAGTATTGCTGGCACCAAAGTAGAGAGAGAGAGGGAAGCAAGTAGCTCTCTGGGGTCTTTATTATGGAATCTCCAGTGATCAAAGTCACTCTGAGTCATAAGGATATTTCTTTCTCTCTGTTCTCACATCCCCCTTTCCCCCCTCTTGAAAATGATGACTATAATAGACTTGCTGAGGGAAGCAGAAAGGTCTCCCCTTCCTCTCAGAGGCCAAAGAAGGGGACAGAAGCTTCCCACCCCCTTGGCCAGGACTGAGAATTTAAGTACAGAGGACTGCCTTTTGTTGCATTCCCACGACCCACTAAACCAGATCATTTACATTACCGAGCAGCTGTGAGGGCATCACATACAAAGTCGCTTTAGTTATGATGTTGGTTTATTTTTTTCTTGGAGCGGAGAATACCGCACAATGTCAGCCTGCTTGATTAGTTTATAGTTCAATATATTATGCAAACCCAGAAAATGAGAGATTATAATCCGTAAATATCATTCCCTAGGAATCTTTTTTTATTTTATTTTATAATCACAAGCGCTAACAATGTATTTAAAACAAATGTTTCGTTTTCAGGCTAGCGGTTTCAATCCCAACTACTTGAAAGCTAATTAAAAATTGAACTTCTGGGCAATGTGGCATTTCTCCAATCCTGTGTCTTTGGTTTGGGACATTATTTTGACCCTCCCTAAGGCTGAAACTGAAAGGTGTTGCTTGACATATGAAGTGAAAAGAAATTTGTGGAAGGATGAAGTGCTTGGCTGAAAGAAAATGGTTGGATCTGTGCCAAGGTCATCCTTATACCTATATTTTAAAAAAACCTTCCCTTTCTGCAAACAGACCTTTTTGTCTATCCATTCTCATTTCTGGTTATAGCTTGCAACAATTTTTTTAACATAGGGTCTTTCTTCTGTATGAACCCTATGTCTTTGACATCAATCTTTACCTCTAACCTTAACTGCTCACTTCAGCTCTTTACTTAACCAAGAAGGCTTTCTATTACCTAACAGGTCAAGATACAATGGAATAATTTCTGCTACCTTTCAAGTTTATATACTGCAATGTGTAGCTGCAAAAGCTAGGTTTTGCATCCATGTTGCACCTGGAATAGAGCTGTCTCCCAGAAATGTGGAATGAATTTAAGGTCTAAAATTTTATAGGGCCTCCTAATGTTTCTGGCATAATGGCAGTTCTGCTTTGGAGCACTGGTGAGAAAATCCATTTGAAACTCTTCCAGTTCCCCTCATCTCCTTCTTCTGGATTTATATTTCGATTTTTTAAAAAAGGATAGCGGGAACATATTGCAGTCTCTTCACTGATGGCTTCAATGGAGTCATTGCTTGGATTCTTGAGAACCCACTGGGAATATCCCCATCCTGCTCAAGGCCTCAGTTCTTAATTATGATTCATTGATCCTTCCCTGTGATCTCAGCAGTGGCAGCACCTGGCCAATCTTATGCTGGCTCAGAAACTAAGTGGGATTGGGACTAGTTAGCTCTTGGATGAGGCATCACCCGAGAATCCAAGGTTTGTAGGTTACACTGGAGACTGGAGAAAACAAAACAAAAAACACCATTGCATAAAGGGTGGTAAACTGCCAAGAAAACCACATGGCTATGCCTACAAAATAACCAGGATTAAGTCTGACTTTACTACTTCTCTAAAAGGCCTTTCGCGTAATAGTTCTTTGCCCTTTAATCTCTCTCAACCAAGCAGTATAAATTAATATAATGAAAGCCCTCGCAAAGGGCATTTGATAACATTTGAATAGTAATTCCAATGAGCTACATTAAGTTCCAACTGGCTACATTAAATTTCAATTGTTTACTTCCCAGGCAGGCAAATTAAAGGTCAATAAGAGGTTCTTTATACCCCTCCCTTATGTAAAATACAATTTTTCCTCCAGTAGTAACTAAGCTCTTTTAAAATTATAGCTTCTCCACACACAGCAATTTCTGTCACCAATGCTCTATGTGTCTAAAAGGAACACATTCATCAGAACATGCAACAGCTGTACAGTAACTATTTGGCTGAGTGTAGTTGCATACTCTTTTTTTCACCATGATATATGGATGCACACATCTATTTTAAAGATGGTGTTGGTCCAATTTTCCTGTTCTGAAGCGTACAGAGTGTCTTGCATTGCTGCATGCTTCCCAGGGCTGTGCAACACAACAATGGGAAATACCCACATGCAGGAATGCTTTTGAAGGCAGATTCAGACTATTTTTGAGAATATTATCCAGGAGCATCTAGTGACAGTCCATTAACATAGCAATGTCACAATCATTCTTTTAGCAAAGTTGGTAACCTATCTTGTGGATCTATTGCAAAGCTTTGCAGTCTCATGAGATATTTTAGGGACTCTTTTACATTTCCAGTAGATCAAACTCCAGACTAAATACAAGGAAGGTGTTGAAAAATCAGTGGTCACAGTCCTGATATGTATATACACATACACATATATATCAGGACTATGATCACTGATCCATCTATCTCTCTATCTATCTATCCACCCACCCATCCATCTTTGGAATTATAATTACATGTTGTACATGCTTATGTGAAAGTCAGTCCGAATAAGTTTGTTTCCACAATATACTTAACTTGGTTACAGTACACTGAATCACAACTCAGATGGGTTTGCATGCTATACCCATTAAATAATCAAATCTTAACCATGATTAACTCCAACCAAATTTAGCTTGCAGTACAAATGTAACTTTTGGACGATAGGCTAACCAGGTTAAGAATATAATATGAGCCTATCCAGAAACATTGGAAGATCTTGCAGCTAAATATGAGTCTCAGTGAAGGCCAGTTAATTCCTTGGCTTGCTTCGCACATCACAAACTGGTTACTAATCCATTTTCAGGGATCTCCCAACATACTGAATCCTAAACAAACAGACTGGTTTTATAGACTGTACTGTGACCACTAATAAACTGAAAACTAATAAACTAGCCATTATTATGTGGAATAATTTATCTGCAACCGGTGTTTTCAAAATTGTAATTGGAAATTAGCCCAAAAGCAATAATAAAATACAGCAAGATTACCTATAATACTCCCCCATGAGTCAGAACTCTCAGCAAAAATGATCCCTGAAAAAAAAAAAGTCCATCCATGAGGTTGATCCTTTCACAGGCTTTGGATGACTATTCTCGCCTTGCTTTTAAGCAGCCCCCTAATTGAAAACAGTGACTCACCAGAAGCAACAGATCACATAACAGAGCAAGGCTCTTACAGGACTCCAATGTGCTATATGCTCTCAGTTGCCAGCGATTTCACACTGCATACTCCATAGGTCCTGTACAAACATGGCAAACTCCAACTGAATACGCTTAATGAATTACATCTTTAACACAACAATATAAGAATGGCCCTGTGGGATCAGGCCAAAATCAGTGGTGGGATTCAGCCAGTTTGCACCAGTTCGGGAGAACCGGTTGTTAACTTTCTGAGCAGTTTGGTGAATTGGTTGTTGGCAGAAATCATTAGGGCAGAGAACCGGTTGTTAAATTATTTGAATACCACCACTGGCCAAAATGCATCTTGGAGCTCTTCAGCAGGGCAGCATTAAATTGCTGCTCTCCAATGTGAGAGTTGCAGAAAACATGCCAGCTTAAAGAAGTGTGGACTGTACTCCTAGCCTTTATTTTGCTTTGGCAATAAAGCAAAATAGGGGTTCTGTGACTGTCTGTACTCCAAGGCAAGGGGAAAGTTACGGCTAAAGGGAAGGAGCCTTGGTGGCGCAGCAGACTAAAGTGCTGTTAAGTAGCACTTAGCTGCCAGCTGTCTGCAATTACTGCAAGTTCAAATCTCACCAGGCTCAAGGTTGACTCAGCCTTCTATCCTTCCGAGGTAGGTAAAATGAGGACCCAGATTGTGGGGGCAATAAGCTGACTTTGTATAAAAAGAACACCGCTTACGGGGGGCCGAAAGCCCTACTAAGCAGGTATATACAAAAGTATGAAGGCTATTGCTTAATGCAGTGTAAGCCGCCCTGAGTCTCCGGAGAAGGGCGGCATATAAATTGAACCAATAAATAAAACAATAAATAAAACAATAAATAAAACAATAAATAAATGCCTCCTTTGGTGTTAGTTTCTGGCAGCAGAAGACTGCAGGTCTTTGGTCTTTTCTCTGATCCCAAGAACTGATCACTCCAAAGGATTGGAGAACTGGCAACAAAGGAGATCTTCTCCCCTGCTTCTCCCTTCCCATCACACCCTTCCACTAAGGGTGGCAGACAAACCAGAGAAGGGAAGCATGTTCTGTGAGCAGAGTAGAAGTTGCCCTTGGTTTAACTGAAAGGCTGTCAGCTGTTTCTGCCCAGGCCCCTGCCAGTGGTGGGTTCTAACCGGTGTTACCACCGGTTTGCTTCGTGCACACCGTTTGTGCATGATCAGCACACGTGTACTCGCTTCACTCACACGCCAAACTTGCGCTTTGCGCAAGTGCATTAAATTTCAAAACAGCTGAGGCAGGGCAATCCGCTCTGCAGCGCCTTACAGCTGGGCTAAAAACGAAGGAATAAAGATAGGTATAGTGCGGGGGCAGGTGGGAGGGCCCAGCTGACGGTCGGAGCGAACCAGTTCACTCTCACATCAAGATTTTTGCTACTGGCTCTCCCGAACCGGGGAGAACCGGTAGCAACCCACCACTGGCCCCTGCGCAGAAGCCATGGACATCTTTCCTGCAAGGCTGCTAAAGTGAATAAAATTAATTCACAAGCTCTTGTTTTAAGGGATTGAATTTTGGGCCTTGAGTGGAAAGCATTTGACCCACTTGATCATTTCCAATGCTGCATCATAGTTAGGATGAGTCTCCATCATGTTTCAAGTGGGCTTCCTTTTCACAAGAGTTCTCATAAGTTCTGAGGCTGGTCAGCATCCCTGGTTGTCTTGCACCAAAGTTCAGGACTTTAGGAAGTTAACATTTGGACGAGACACGGCTGGAAAACCACTTCTCAGGGATGGTTCCAGTAAAACTGTATATGGTAGAGAGTTGAATTAGATGGTTTTTGTAGTCCCTTCCAACTGTACTCTATGACTCTACCATTCAAGATATTCTGGACCTGCATTTCAGATGAAACTGGCTTGTTTGGGAGGAACCATAGCACCTCAAACTTCACTTTGACTTGGATTCCATCAAATCCTATAGAGATGACTGAAGCAGTCTTATAAAGTTATCTGGGAAGAGTTCAAGCTTGTTCGCCCCAAGAAGTGGACAGAGTCCTTGGAGATGTAGGTATGGCGACCTGTATTACAACCATGCTCCTTCTGGTTGGTCAAAGCCTCCAGGGAGGGAGCATTTTACTAAATCCATGTTTATTTTATATATTTATTAGAATTTGTCAAACAAAAACGAGAACAAGAATAAAAGAAAAAATATATACAATGACGGGGACAATAGGCACTTTAGTGCACTTATGCATGCCCCCTCTACTGACCACTTAAGTGTGAAGTAAGGTCCACGTAAGGAAGTCAATTTGTGACTGAAACTGTGGAAATTTGTAGCTGAGACAACTGGATCAGGTAGTGCATTCCAGACTTTGAGAACTCTATTACAGAAACCGTATTTTTTACAGTCAAGTTTAGAACGATTTACATTGAGTTTAAAGCAGTTGTTCGCGCATGTATTATTGTGATTAAAACAGAAAAAATCATTTACAGGTAAAGCATTACTACGTATAATTTTGTATGCTATACCTAGGTCTGACCGCAAGTGACGTAGGTCTAAGTTATCCAAACTGGGAATTTCAAACCTAGTAGCATAGGGAATTCTATTGTGTACAGAAGAGGGCAAAACTTTTCTTGTGAAATACTTCTGAGCCCGCTTGATTGCACTGATGTCAGATATATGGTGGGGATTCCAAACAGTTGAACAATACTCTAAGATTGGTCTAGCATTAAGTTTCATAAGCTCTAATTAGCAATACAATGTTTGCTAATTACATACAGGCATTTACCATCACATACAATGTGATGGTAAACGCCTCTTTGAGAGAGGGGTGATTATGCTGGCTGTGAAAGGTGATGGGTGTTCTCTCTTCTCAAGAGGCCATTCTTGAATCCAGCTGACCAACTTTCATCTAGTCACAAATCTGCCCTTTCTAGGCTGAGTCTGAAACAGGGATGATGGCACTCTAAGCCTCAGACAGGGGTATTCTGGCTCTCTTTGAATTTTGAAGCATGATTTTGTGGATTCCCTACTTCCTTTGTGGGTGCTTCAAGATGGTATTAATAGGTGGAAAGAGAAAGGGTTGAGCCCTAGGCCTCTGCTTTGTGGGTGCCTTTTCAATGTCCACATGAAACTGCTGGGTGAGGTCATCTGCCAATAGAGGATGAGGTGTCATCAATATGCAGATTGGACTAGTTATGCATCTCTATTCCTGGCCATCCAAGTGAAGCTGTTGAGGTCCTGCCCTAGTGTTCAGAGACTGACAGCTTGGATGGGGAAGAACATACTACAGCTTAACCCTGCCAAGATTAAGTGGGGGGGGGGTCCCCTGAGTCTGGGAATTAAAATATTTCCATCTTTGGTTCTTGATGGGGCAGCACTACCCCCATTCAGATCAGTGAACAATCTGGCACTTCTCCTGGACTCACAGCTCCTGTTCAAAAAGGAGACCATATCTGTAGCCAGGAAAACATTTACACAACTGCATCTTATGCGTCAATTGCATCCATTCTGGAAGGCCCTGGTCATGATCATTCATGCTTTAGTCATTTTTCAATTGGACTACTCTCATGCACTCTATACGGGGCTGCTCCTGAAGACTATCCAGCTTCCTTTAATCTAGAATGGAGCAGTATGGGTATTTCTGGACAGTTTGATATGCCCATGTAACACTGTTACATCATGATATATTCTAAAGATTTCTGGGTATGATTCAAGTGCTGACTATAACCTTTAAAGCCCTACATAGCAAAACACTGGTTTACCTGCAGGTTCATCTGCCCACCCCACAAACTGCCATAAGGAGGGCATGCTACAGGTTCCATCATTGAAACTTTGCTACCTAATGGGACCGAGGAAACATGCCTTTTCTAAGGCTGCAACTGTGCTCTGAAACCAGAATGGGACAATTTGCCACGGCCAACTCATCCACAACCAACTCATCGCGACCAACTCACTACGGGAAAACTCACCATGGGACAACTCACCATCGGACAATTTAACAATTCAATTTAATTATTTAAAATAAATAAAAAATATTTTCATTTTTGTCATTCACATTTCGTTTTGTCCTTCCTTTTGCATCCTTTCCTTAATGATTCAATTCCACCATTTCTTTGATATTAGTGTAACTCTTGTCCTGCAGTGAGTTGGCCATGGCAAGTTGGCTGCGGCGAATTGTTGTAGACCCCTCTGAAACAATTTCCCCTCAATAAACAAGCCCCAGCTCTGCTCACCTTTATGAAAGTCATTAAAGACCTGGTTTTTTCCTCAGGCATTTAGGTCCAGCTGAGTGGAGTCCCCTTTCGGTTGTTTTATTATGTTTGGCTGCCATTTCACAATTTATATTTATATATTATATATGCTTTAATGTTGTGTGGTTCTCTTGCTTTCTTGTTCTTTTTTTTTCTGTTGGTATACCACCCAGAGTCAAACTCTTTGAGTTGGGCAGCCCTATAAATCCAACAGATAAATATATTTACTCCCAGAAACTACAAAACTGTCCCTGGAACTGTCCAGGAGGAACTTTGAGATGTGGTTCAGATGGAAGTGTAATGTTTTGTTCCCATATTGACAACTTTTGCAGATACCTAATTCTTAGGTTGGAATTTACAGCTGCTATACAATGAGTCATTATCATCCACCTATCTAATATGACACTAAGATCATTAAAGACAGCTCAGACTCCATCAGTGCATACATGGTTAGTTTTGGTTGCCCCAGGGTACATAAATTTACGCTTCCTTAAATTGAATTAGATTTGCATGCGGTTGATTGTTCACCCAATTTAAAAAGATTCTTCTGGAACACTTCACAATCACTTCTATTTTTTACCACAAAGAATAGTATGATCTGCAAACTTGGCCAGCATACCGCTTACTTCTAAGTCAAGATCCTTTATGAACAAATCAAAAAGCACTGGTCCCAGCAGTGATCTTTTAAGGCAGAGTTCCCCAACATTTCTGGTTTTGCAGACCAGCGAGGAGGAGGGGGATGATTTTGTGAGTTGGCCAGCAAGCACGCATGCGCATGCAGCTCCATTTGCACATGTGGTGTGCATGCGTGCCTGCCGCTCACGCAGAGTGCACACTCTCACCCACTGCTTGCGCAAGTGAGGATGTGTGTATGTGCTTGTGCTCGTTGGCCATTTCCGCAGCGCTGTTGCAAATACCTCACGGCCCACTAGTGGTCTGCGGCACATAGGTTGGGGACCCCTGCTTTAAGGGATTCCACCAGGGATGAAATTCAGCAGGTTCTGACAGGTTCTGGAGAACTGGTAGTGGAAATTTTGAGTAGTTTGGAGAACCGGCAAATACCACCTCTGGCTGGCCCCAGAATGGGGTGAGAATAGAGATTTTGCAATATCCTTCCCCCAGGAGTGGGGAGGGAATGGTGATTTGCAGTATCCTTCCCCTGTCACGCCCACCATGCCACACCCACCAAGCCACACCACGCCCACAGTAGTAAAAAAAATGGATTTCATCACTGGATTCTACTATACATGTCGCTTCACTGAGACAACTGGCATTTTATTGCTACTCTGTTTTCTGATAAAAGATAATATTTGTAGATCAAGGCTGAACTGTGTAGCCCTTGGTGCTCTTTGAGCTTGGTTATTTTCTTGCAGGACTGTCATTACCAAACTAGGGAACATTATAATCCACATGAGAAGGGAATGGGATTTGCTCTAATTCATTTGCTCTCAGTGGTGTGCCCTTTGGTGTTGGTGGGAGTGATCTTAATTAGATCACTCCCACCAGTTAATTAGACTGCTGTTTACAGGTAGTCCTCAACTTACGACCACATCTGAGCGCAAAATTTCTGTTACTAAATGAGATATTTGTTTTGCCTGATTTTATGGCCTTTATTGTCAGTTGTTAAATGAATCACTGCCATTGTTAAGTTAGTAACCCGGTTGTTAAATGAATCTGGCTTCCCCATTTACTTTGCTTGTCAGAAGGTTGCAAAAGGTGATCACATGACCTTGGACACAGCAACGGTCATAAATATGAACCAAGCATAAATATGAGCCAAGCATTTGAATTTTGATCACATGATCATGGGGATGCTGCAAAGTTCGTAACTGTGAAAAACGGTCATAAGTCACTTTTTTCAGTGCCATTGTAACTTTGAATGGTCATTAAATTTTATTTATTTATTTATTATCAAATTTATATACCGCCCTTCTCCCGAAGGACTCAGGGCGGTGTAACACTAGGCCAACGATCAAGAAGTAAACAACACCTCAATGAAGGAACTACCAATGAAAACAAGCTAACAGTAATGAGGACAGGCTCATAAATATAACACTACAATGACTCAAATAACTTTTGATGAGGGACTTTGTTAGGTTTTTTTAAAATTAAAGTTCTTATGTTGACAAGATCACTTTCATCCACTTACCCACAGTTATCTCCTTTGGATCCTTCTTCCTGTTGTCCAGCACCAAAACTAAATTTAGTAACAACAACTATATTTTGCCCAAATATTTCATACTTGAATTCTTTAAGAGTTCTTGGGTAGATGCCAGCAGGACCTGAAGATTAGGTAGTTTCTCAAGATTTCCTCCTGGTATTATCTCAGTTTGCTATCTTTGTTTCTATAAACACTGGAAGAATTTACAGCAATTAAATATTAAGACCACAGAAGAATGAATCTGAGGGTGATTTCGATGGTCTAAAACTATATTCCTATTCAACAACTTTTAAATCTGAGGGAACCAGAAAGCAACACTTCTATATAATTCTCCTCCTCCTGATCCTCTTCCTCCTCATTCTTCCTTTTGCTTTCCTGATCATTTTACCCTTTTTTTCTGCCAAGTTTGTATTCCAATTTGTTCTCTTCTTTAAGACAAGCTTTCCACTTCCTGAAAGAAAAAGCTTATCTTTTACGGTTTCCTGAACACTACTAGCCCTGCTGGCCTCTTCCTGAATTTGGTCGACCTTTTCTTCCTCTGTAGAATAAACTTGAAAGAACCACCTGGTGCTGTGAACAGATTTAGCCCCTTTTACACTTTTCTTTCAATCTCTTGTTGGCCTTTAGCTTTGCATATAAGGTAACTGTCCATACCCTGCCTTCCCTAGTCATCCCAATGCACTAAACTAGGCCGAAACAGGGTTGCAGAGTTTAGTGCGCTGTCGGATCCCAGCCGTTGCATTACCATCTTGTGTGAAATGGGCTATTATTAAATCATAACTTGATTTATTTTTAGCAGAGACAGTTAAGTGAGCCCAGCAACTCTGTTCTGGGAACCTCGATTTTGGGTTAAGGTTCTGGGGTGAACCAAAGACCCCTTAGTTTGAATGACTCAAAATAAACCATTGTCTGGAATCACACAACACACCGAACATAAATTAACCAAATGAGTTTGATTCATCCAACAGGCTACCCACAAAAGACTAATCAAGGTTACCCACCCATCCCCGGCATGGTGTGTGAATGCAGGGACAAGGTGTTTGCCTGAGCAGACCAGACATTGGGGGAACGAAGCTTACAACCTTACTGGGGAATGTTTTGATTCCTTTGGCGGCGCCTCAGAATGGAGCGAGGCGGCCACTCCTTCCGCAGCCACCAGCTCGGCCCCCGCCTCAAACACGGCCGGTCTCCCCTCCTCTCCAGCTCCTCCTCCGAAGGGGCGGTCTGCGCAGGCAAGGGGAAATAGCCGGGCAGCACCGCTTGCTCGGTGTACTCCTGCCCGGCCCCTATCAGCCCCTGGAAACCTTCCTTTTGCACCCTCCCACCTGCTCCTTCCGCCCAGCCCACCCGCCTATAAAAAGAGCGGTTGGCGCTGGCAAAAAGAGACGGGGAAGGAAGCGACCGAGGGCGCTTTAGTGCTGCTTGAAAGCGGGCATCGCGTTCTAAGGGCGCTCGGGTTAGACAGACCGGCCGGGACTTTTGTTCTTTGGAAGAGGAAAGGCGCTTTTTTCTTTTTTTTTTTTTGGACTAACCGGGGGGGGGGGGCGGAAGACCCATTTGCCGGGCCGCCATGGAGGTGAGCGCGGCGCGGATGTCGTCGAGCGACATCGCGGACCTGAACAGCCAAGACGCCCAGACGGTGTGCGAAGCGCTGGGCCGCTACGAAGAAACGCTTCGCGGCGCGGTTAAGGAGATCCACGTGGATATCCAGGTCTTTAAGAACGGCGTGGACCGGCAGGTGGCCGAAGTGCTGCGCTTGGCCAACCCGCTGGCCAGCACCGTAGCCGAGCTCCAGCAAGAGAACCAGCAGTTGCGGACGCAGGTCGAGCATTTAACTCAACAGGTGGAGATCCTCAGCCGGGCAGCCGGACTCTCGGACGTCTTGGTCTCTAAGCCGGTATCTCCGACGGCGTTCGCGGCATCGCCGAAACTGGGCAGCAACAGCAGCAGCAGCAGCCGCTTTGCCAGCCACGCTAGACTGTCCCTTTCCAGCAAGAGTCAGGTAACCGTGTGGCAGGAGCGGGAAAGCGCCGTCCGTCAGACAGCTGCATGCAGAAATAACTTGGATCTCCTACCCCGCGTGGAAGGGATCCCTGGCGCTCTGTTGAGCCGGTCGGTTGCCCTCAGCCTTTCTGCCCCCGAGCTTTGCACAGATCTATGGCTTTTCCCTTCCATCCCCCGACCTCCAGCGCCCCCTTCCCTCCTTTCTTCCCTGTGCGATTTAACTAATGCTTTGCAGCTCCACCCAGAAGGTTGCAGATAGGAAGAAGGGGGCTCTCGTACGCTCCGTCGGGGAACGTTCCGCGCTGCACGAAGATACCACGCCCCCCCCTTCTCCCCGAACCTGGATCTTTCAATATTAACCGAACGTCCAGGGCGGAGCGGTGGAAGTTTTCGGGAGAAGTCCCTAGGGCTAACTAACCCTTTCTGCTGTTGGATTGGTGGTTCTCTTGGGAACCCTTTTGGGTCCCGTGCTGGGGCGGGTTTTTGTACGGGTGTTTTGTTGCGGACGGGGTTTGTTTGCGGGCAATTCGTTTTGCGCCCCCCCCTCCTCCCCGTCTCCGGTTTTGAGGGGTGGGAGCGCTCCCTGCGAGCGCGTTGACTTCTTGCGCATGTCTGAAACTGCGCTAAGCTGCGATCTGGTTGCTGCTAGGCGGGGCGATGGTGGGCTAGGAATTTGGGGAAATTAGAAGGGGCAGGTCGCCTGCCGTCGCCCAAGCAAAAAGAAGCCATCCTTCTTAATCAAGCAGATTATCTTTCAAATAAAGCAGGATTTGATTTCGGATCAGGCTTTTCTTAATTACAGACTTGATTTCATCACTAATATCAAACTTTGGACAGGGGTATAAGGGTGCTCTTAAGCGTGATCATAATATATCCTTCTGGCTTGGAAAGTTTTTCCAAGACAGCAGGATCCTTCCGTAAAAGAATTGGAACAAATCCTCTGTTGAAGGAGAGATGTTCAGCCAGGAGAAGGGACAATAAGAAGCAATGAAATATTTTTCTTCAAATATTTAAAGAGTTTTCCTGTAATTAAATGAACAGATTTGCTTAGTGTTTCAGAAGCAGTAAGTTCATATTACAAGGAAGGGTTTATATGAGGGTTCTGCTAATCACAAAACCTTTCAGCTTTCAATATAACCTGTTAGTCTGAAAAGATGCCACTGGATTCCTTCTGAAATAAGCTGATCCTAACTGATTCAATCTGTTTGAAAATGGAGCAGACTGCTTTGTTTCATGCTGTAAGTTTGTGGTTCAGTGTGTTGTACAAATCCAATAGGTTGTGTGAACCAGACTTCAGGTGCTTTATTTGTTTGGGCCTAATATGCTTTATGAATTTGCCGACTAGGATTATGTTTTACTAACCAGGTATGTTATATCAACTCAGCCACACTCTTGTAAGGTGGTGATTCATTCACTAGAATCTTTTAAAGATGAGCCCAGGTGCCAGGAGGACAGAGTGTTTTCTGCCAGAGGGAGCTAATTACACATGACCTTTGAGACTGTCTCCAACTCTTGATTCCTCTGGTTGTGTGAATCATGGTTTTCTTCTTTTTCTCCCACAATTCCCCTGAATGAGACATAGCTGACTGGAGGCAAAGCAGTTGTGCAGACATCTGTCCAATGTAGAGTTGGCCTATTGTAATTCACATAAGGGATTCCCTTTTCCATCTCAATAGGTGCTTCAGACAAGTTCCTTTCTCTCAGACTGCGAATTGGTTGTTTTTTTCACCACACCAAGTTGGTGAAACACCCTATGGCTGCTCTATTTGCCCAGGATGTTAAAATTGCTTTGTGTTCACCTTGGCTATTTTTGAGGCTTAATAATGTTATCCAAAAGTTATGGCTTTGAGTGAAGTTAGAGAATGGATTAACTTTGTAACTGAGTTCAGTAGGTTATACAAGAGGGAGAAAATTACACCAAGATTATTTTATGATGCTCTTCAAAGACAGTGGAAAACAAGAATGTGACTTGTTCATCCATATAAAGAGAATGACTGAAGACCATCAGAAAGTCTTCCACTCAAATAAGCATAATCAGTCCCCATGCATCTGAGATAGCTTTGATGATTTGATTATGCACTATCAAGTTTTTTCTCAACTCCTAGCGCCTACATAGACAGATTTTCTCCATGACAAACTGTCTCTAATTTATTCTTCTAGGTCAGGAGTGTCAAACTCGATTTCATTGAGGGCCACATCAGGGTTATGTCTGACCTAGTGGGGCCGTGGCCAGGGTGGGTGTGGCCAGCTTGACATCACTCATGTTGGGGGTGCCTGTGGCGGCCTGAGTTGTCTGCCAGCAAAAATGGGCTCCCGAGCTCTGTTTTCGGCTGTGATGGCCTCCTGCAACCCACCGACAGAGAAAATGGAGCTTGGGAGGGGCACACACAGCCCTCCCGAGCTCCATTTTTGCTGGCAGAGTGACTGCGGGCTGGTCCTTCGCTGTTTTCAGGGTGGCCCTCAGGCCAGATCTAAGTATCCCGTAGGCCAGATCCAGACCCTGGGCCTTGAGTTTGACACCCCTGTTCTTCCAACAGTGCACTCATTGCCACTGTTATTGACTCCAACCACCTTGCTGCTAGTCATCCTCTTCTCTTCCTTTCTACCCTTTTCTAGCATTAGAACCTTTTCTAGAGAGAAAGATCTTTGTGTTATCTGTCCAAAGTAGGATAATTTGATTCATTTGTGCCTTGAGTGTGACCTTCAGGTTGCTTTGTTTGATGATACATTAGATTGAGTTGTTTGGTTGTCCGTGGTATTCTCAGAAGTCTTGCTCAGCATTAAAGTTAAAAAGCATCAATTCCCTTCCTAGCCTGCTTCTTCAAAACTCCAACCAGGAGACTTAAAACCAGGATAGTTTGGGAATTACCCTTAACTTGCTTTGAAGGGGCAAAGGCTACAATAGATTTTGTGGTAATGTAAAGTGGGAAGGGAAAGAATTTTCTTCCCCTCCCATCATTCCCTGGTGACTGAAGTTCAGTTTCCTTTTAAAGTAAGATAAGTCTATATAAGATTTTAGATACCATTTTTCATGTGTTTTGTGAATTGCTGTGCAGTTTCTAGAGAACAGTGGGAAGGTGCATCTGGTGCCAAAAATAACATTCAGTCTTGTATCTTTGATTGTTTACCTCTACTTTAAGAGCTGTCTGAAAGGAGCAAGGGACTTGCACCATTACGTCTCCTACATACCTCTTTTCAAAAATGGAAAAATATTGTCTGCTGGAGTGCTTTGTCCACACCTATCAGCCTGAGGGTAACTTACCACATACTGGACTGTGTTTGTACAATACACCCAACCCAGTTTCTAAAGGAGCTCATTTGGGGGGGTCTGAAATATATTTTTCAACCATAAATTATCTCAAATATCTCCATTTGCACAACTATGAAAACATTTACCAAGATTTTATACATTTTATAAATGCAGCCATTAGGTCTTCTAATGACCTAATGTATGCTGTACTGTATAAACACAGCAAAGATGTCTCTTTGCATAGATCTGCCTTGCAAATAATTCTCTCAGCGAAATGCCAGAGGTTGAATTGGAGGTCATGATTATGATAGGAAAAAGACACTCTACATATGCTCCAAGTAATTTTTCTCTCTCATTTTTAAATGTACTCCAGGACACAACGTAATATATATATACTGTTCAGATCCTATTCAGATCTGGTGTTGCAGCCTGCTGCCTCCTAAACTCTATGAAGATTGGTGGGATCCCGTGAGTTTATTTTCTAAATTTGGGCTGATGATGGCAGATGTAATAATTGGAAAGAGCTTTGGACTTGAAACATAAACTATCAGTCATTTATTTAGCCTGTGAATAGAAGAATATATGTTGGTTTGGGACATGGTGTCCAGCATCCATCATCTACCAAGGACATTTCTCAAACTGGAAATTTTCAAACTTGAGAGCATAGCACTCTTTATCTTTCCCTTTAGGATTTACTAATTCTCTTTCTGGCAACATTCATATACAGTACCTATGTCCCTACCCTCACAATCTCAATATATTCCTCCAACATTCCCAAATAGCTAGAAATTGACTCCTGTGGCAGGGGGGGGTCTTTGTACAGTCTTTATGAAGCCAAATGTTACAGAAATTAGATAGGCCAAATAGACAGATCTGTCTGTCTGTGGAGATTCTTAGTCATCCAGTTCATCGTTTTCCCAAAGGAGCTTTTTCAAAAGCCAAATAGACTTTTTTTGTTTTTCCTTGAAGATCAAGCAAAGCTTCAGTTCTGGTTCGCTCAAACGTCTTCAAGGAAAAACAAAAAAAGTCTATTTGGCTTTTGAAAAAGCACCTTTGAGACAGACCTATCAAGCGGTTTCTTTTCAGGCTAAGCAACGCTGAAGAAAATAAGCAAGAAAGAATAAGAAAGAAAAATAAGAAAAATTAATTATAGGTACAAAAAAAGGAAACATAGCTAAAAGAAGTTTCCCCAGACATTCCATGCATAGTAGAGAACGTTATCAGCCTTATTTGCACCTATGCCACATATGCACCATTCTCTACCAAGTGTGAGTAAGCTGGATTTAAGCACCAGACCATGAGAATATATAGTAACAAGATCCCTGATGTTGAGTCAACTCACAAGGCTTATCTAAAAATTTCCTCAACAAAGCAGGAAAACAACAACCCCTTGGCTCTACTGTGTTTGACTATCCATAGTTATAGTCTTTGGCCTTTAACCAAATCAATTGACTACCTACCATAGCAGCTGAGTTTGTTCATTTGTTCAGCTTCAGTATACTCTCTGAAGAGTAGGTTCCAGGTAGCGCTCTTGTTAGTAATGGTGACTTGATCCCCTTCTTTCCCTAAATAATGTTTTTGAAAGCCTTATCAACTAGTAGCCTTCATTCTATTTTGTGGTGGTTGAATTCTGAAGGTTAATCATGCATTAGGTTATCTTTGCTCATTTCCCCCATTTGACACAGGGAAAAAGCTGCCATAGCCCAGTTTCAAGGGGTTCTGACTCCCCCATTTAACCCTTTTTATTT